GCATGAGACTTTTGCTTGGCAAGTAGAACCAATTGGGTCTATTGTTAAGCAAAATTGCAAGGAGAATTGGCACCTAAGCTCTCATCTAGCTATTGATGAGGCTATGATAGCCTATAGAGGCCGCAGTACTTATAAGACTAAGCTCCCGAATAAGCCAATCAAGGAGGGCTATAAGGTGTGGGTACTCAGCGACGCTGGATACGTATATGATTGGCTATGGCATAGCCGTATTAAAGGACCAGAGGATATCCCTCAAGAGGGTATTAAATTCGATTAAGTTATTAAAAAAGAGCTTACGGAGCTTACTATGATACATCTAGCACCAACATTTGCTCTTGTTATTCGACTTGCACAGCGTTTGCGTCAAATCCATCCAACGCGCGTTTTTTGCTTCTTTTTGGATAATCTATTTCTGAATGTCAACGTTGCTTAATCGCTACTTGCTCTTCGTATTTGCTGCATAGGCACTACTCGCAAAAACGCTCAAGGAATCCCTGTATGGATTCTAAAGCTAAAAGAGTATAACCGTGGCCTTGTTTGGAATTCTATGCTTGCAGAAGTTGTTGATAACACGCTTTGCTTTCTATGGCAAGATAATAACGCTGTTATAGGCTGTACAACTGCTCATAATCTTCAAAATGACACGGTTTTACAACTTCGAAGACGATCCTCTCTTACGTTAATAAATGCTCAAATCGTACACCTTGTATTTGGCAACTTGCCCTTTAAATGGCTCTATATTCCTTGAGCTATTGATGACTATAACCACTATATGAATGGCGTTGATCGAAGCAATTAATTACGGAAGAACTTCACAGCTTATAGGCCCTACGAACGTCGTGTTTGGCGCCCCTTATGGTACTATATCCTTGATATCTGCGCAGTTAACAGCTATCTCATTTAGAAAGGGGATATAGCAGATATAAAGAAAAGAGGTCAACGCCCGTTTCGAAAAGCACTTATTAACGCCCTTCTCAAAATGCCCTACCCTATCGAAACGCTAGTGCCTATTAAGCAGCACTATAAGAGCAAGCCTATGCCTCTACCTAATCGAGCAACTCAAGGTCATAGCTGGCAGCCCTTAGAAAAGCGCGGATACTGTATATGGTGCAAAAAGAGCGCTCAAGAGGAGAAGCAGCTCAATAGGCCAGCATTAGCAGAAATCGTCAATTCTGTCGCTCCTAAGCGTACGAAAACGTCGTACGGAGGATGCAGAAGCTGTAACGTCTATCTATGCGTAAAAGGAGCTTGTTTCAAGCAATATCACTGTCAATAGCCAAATAATAGCTTGCTGGCGCTCTTGCTGGCGCTTTTTGCTCGATTCCTGCTCGATTTCTGTATGCCAAGCAATTTTGACGCTAAAAGGGTGCAAATTCACCACCGGCGCGTGGGATACTGTATGTGATACTCCGTACGGAGTACTCCGTATGTATGTACGTAGAATTGAGTCAAGCCAAGGCGCGGCGCCCCTCTCCAAGCAAACGCCTCCACCGTCCTCCGGCCCCAACACGGCTGCGGTCGGAGTTTCATATTAAAAGACTCTCATTTCACCCAGTCATATGCCAGAGACAACCTGGTCTCAAATCCTGGCTATATCCTGCCACCATCTATGAGACATACCCTCATCTTACATCCGAAACAGATATGAGCTGGCCGTCGCAGGTGCACAATCGCGTGGAAAACCTTTACATCTGCAATCAGTGAAATCTTCCGAATGCGCAGTCGTGCCCAACGTCTCGACAGTATTTTTCGCAATAGATGACTGCAAGCAGACATGTCAACTGAGGAGGCTACGGTGGCAACAAGGACTTCATTATCGAAGTTCGAGATTGTCCTGTCGTGCAATCCACCGATCCTTGCATCGTTTCTCCTCCACGCACCGACGACCACCATATTTCAGCTCTATCACACCTCTAGCTATCTACGACAGTTCCTGCGCTCTTATCCAACTGCCTGGAAGTACCTCTCCTTTCGATTACTCCAACCATCTCCTACACCTCCTCCCGCAGCCGCCAACGTTCCAGGTGCAAATGGCTCGGTTGCCAGACAGTCTCGGAATTATGCCCTCGATCAGCTCCTCCTGAATGTGGTCAACCCGTACAGCAGCTGTTTGAAGAGCCTGGAACTTGACAATACTGCCGTCAGCGGCCAAATCCTGATATCGACTGTGCTCAGCCAGCGGAGGGAGACTCTTGAGCACCTGTCAATCCGAGGCTGCAAAAATGTATCTTTGAAGTATCACATCGTTCCATGGCTCACCCTCTTCAGCCTGCAGATGGGAGGACAGAGTGGGAAGGCGGTCATTAGTCCGGGGCACCAGGAGCTCGCACTGAAAAGCTTATATACCTACAGATGTCGACATCATCGGAGACGCCCATATTTGCCCAGCTCACTCACGAGAAAGGACAGTGATTCAGAACCCACACACGAGCTTGTTATTCTATGCCATCAGCTTGGAATATGGACGGATACAGCCTGGTGCACAACACCTGGTGTGAGATGTTTCAGGAGGAGAGGATACGTCACTATGAGAGCACCCGCCGATACGAAAGAGGTATGGGTGGTATACGATCGTTTGTGGAGAAGTAAGAACTGGGTTGGATTGATCGAGGACAGAAACGAGGCATCACGTGTTAAGGCCCCTGCGCAGAGAGATGGAAGGGTCTGGGAACAGGATGAGAATGGAACGGAGGGTGAAGCCCTTGGCGTTGGCAATGACAAAGTTCGGTATGACGATGGGAAACATTTACCAATGCATCTTCGGAAAAGTCATTGCGAGTTTGTAGAGGCAGTGACATGCGACAACTGCTCATCTGTCATATTGGAAAGATGCGAACAATGTTCGGTGTTGATGCACTGTGCTGGCTGCAGGAAGACTCTTTGTGCAAGCTGTGCATTCGATAGACCATACACGCGAAATCGGCCTGGAGACGCAGAGCTCGAGGAAGGCCCCGGTGAGGAGCGGAAGGACAAATTCTGGTGGGCACCAGGATACTCGATATCCCCATGCTCAATGCAAGATCAAGACGACACTGCAAATGGCAATGGTCCAGTCTTGCAACTTCCAAATCCCTCGTCGAAGTTCAAGTGGTGTTGTACAGAACCTGTCTTTTCAGGCGGTGGTGGCATCACATTTGGACCAGGCAACAGCGGTCGAGATTTTGAGCGCATGCGAGCAGCTCCGTTACCGAAGGGCGAGGGTTGGGAAGACGCAGAATTTCATTCTGGCCGCAGGGCTGAAAAAGAGGCCTATCTTGCACAAGAGAAAATACCCAGTTCACGGATTCGGCTCAACAAGACTGACCATTACGATGTCATGCATCAGCTGCTTGGCCCCGAAAAGCAACCATCTCTAGTGCCGCGCAATCTTTGTGACGAGTGCTACGCATCCAAGCATTGGAAAGTCAAATGTAAAGCCTGCTCCCAATCGCTATGTCTACAGCATGACCTTCGGGGCCTCAAGATGCGCCTCTGCGGATATCGAGACTTGGCATCGGAGAAGGAAGCGTTGAATAGACGGCAGAAATCAATTGAGACCATGGAGCTTTCTCTGGAGCGATTGAAAGGGTTTATTCCCGCGTGCAATTGGTCAGGCGTGCCCGACGTCTGGCACAAGGATCGTTACGAACGACTTCGCGGCCTGGCAAGAAGTTCTGAGATCGATGATACCGACAGCACCAATGCAGAGCTTGGCCAGGGACCACGTCTTCCTGCTTTACAATCAAGCACTACAGAACAAGCAGTTCTACACTTGCCAGCTGCCACACCCAGTAACCATAACGAAAACGACAGACTCAACAGACCCACCTCTCCAAGCTCAAACGCAACCGCTGCTGCATCGCGCTCTACCTCACCGGCTCCATCTGTAGACTCTGTCACCATACCCACTCCTACCCCCGAAGAAGCCCCTGAGAAACAGGAGGATGGTATAGAGCCGCATCCAAAATGGATTGGTTGTCTCGGCTTCGCTTGTCCACAATTTCGCGGGTCAGGGGATCATCGACAGCGTTGCAGTGCTTCGTTTAAAGAGTGTGCGGGCTGCAAAGTCAACGTTTGCAAAGAATGTGCCGACAAGATGCCAAAACCTTGTAGATGTGAGGGCTGCGTCGAAAGGTCACTTGTAGGTACTGCTAATCCGACGACAGCAGCGGTGACCGCGGTCAGTGCGACTATCAACGGCGTCATCGTCACGGCACACGCGGCTCATACTGTTACAGCAAGCACGAGTACTATTGGTATCGAGACGAACAGATTTTGGTGCCCAAATTGTCGGTGGGAACGCGTACGAGGCGGGAGGTGTAAAGCTGGCCGGCAGAGGATAACGACGAAGGGCAAGGGCAAAGGTAAGGACAAAGGTAAGGAAAAGGGGAAGAGAAAGTCTCAAGGGTCGTCGGAAGAGACAACCAGGCCTGCACCGGCTCCAACAGGCATTGATGACGAGACAGCGCAGAACGTCGCGGAATTCGAGGACTTAGTGGCCAGAGGAGATGAAGCATTACATGCTGAGCTCAATGCTGTTTCTGGTCCCCCCGATAGTGTGCCGATGGCAGATCCATCTTCGATACCAGCGCCACCACCGCTACCTCCTCCAATGCAGCCGCGGGTTCAGGGTCCTGTTACTGTTTCGATCAATAACGCTCAACATCCCAGCACCAACAATGCCGAGGAGAGAGATCTGGATAGGATCAGCGCTATGGTCGATGATCTGCAGACAAGAATCGAGAGATTGAGAGTCGTCTACGCGTCCAGGCGACAGCAGTCAGAGCAGTCTGATGCGGGTGACGTAAGCTCTGCAGAACGCTCTGCAGAACGCTCTGAGACTGTTGATGGCAATGGAGACGGGGGGTCTCTTGCCGCAGTTGAGGCTGAGGAGATGGATTGAGGGCCAAAGGGCCATTCCGGGGGGATAAGAACATCGACAATGAGAATGTTTTCAGACTGAGAACTGGTTCTTTATCTACCATGTACGAACCAGGAATGCTGGGCGGGTGTGGCTTATTCCAAATGGCGTCTTTGAAAAGTTGCAGAGGGACCAAGCGTGTGATTAATGAGTGCTGTTAGTGGAAGGGAGCAACGCATAGCGGACGAGCAAGTCTCTCAAGCACTCTGTTCGGTTATAATTGATTCATTCCATGCTGTCTCCTTTCCAACCTTGCATACGTAATATACGGTTCTCCAGTTGAACGTTTTACACTTGTTGGAGCATCACCAGACCTTGTTTACCACAACAAGCACCAAACAGAGTGACTCGGGACCCAGTAGACGAGTCTTGAACTACCATAGTGATCATCATCTCAAGTCACGATTTCGCTAGGTCGAGGCGCCAAGATAATTCCTTGAGATGGGACGCCTGGGGCTGAGCCTGCTCCGTCGGGCTGGACTCGAAGGCCTCTCCCTCTCTTGTCCCTCACTTCAGCTTACAGACCAGACCAGACCAGACCATTCTCTCCAACTACCAGACGATGGGTCTTTGGGGTCTCTTGTGCGACTGCTTCAAGCGGCACTCTATTGTCAAACCTCATTCCAAGCCCAGCTATGCACGTCTCGTCGAAGCCAAAAAACCACCAGCTTATTCATCCCTCCCAATTGATGTTGCAACCGTGTCATCCCACCGTTCTAGCTGGAAGGCCGATGGCATCGACGAAGGCGCTCGATTGCTACCACCGCATCTTACTGTGATAGATGAGAAAGAGCCTTTGGAGGCAATTGTCGACTCTGCCGCTTCGTCTCCGCAGTCGTCTACGGTCTCGCTTCCTAGCACTCGCATCACTGCTTTGACGGTCACGACTAATAACACTGGCGCAAGTCGTGCCTCGAGAATGAGCCATTATTCAGGAATCACGTTCGAGGCACCTCCTTCGTACAGTTCACGGCGGTCTGTTACACTTCAACGGTCGAACCGCTCATCTTGGGATCGACCGCATCCTGTTCATGCTGAGGACTGGTTTGACCAATTTCGAGATCCCTGAAAGATTGACACATACCATGAAATTATTTCAGCTTGTTGAGTACTCATGGAGTCTACCTGCAAACAGCGGCTGCAGCCATTTGAATTCACTCCTTCTCCCCCAGGATATACTACTGCCCATTTGACACGATACTCTATTCACTTGACAAAGAAATCACTTGCTCGCAATCGGATCTCGCAGTTGGATCAAGATTTTAAAAGTTGCTGCATTTTGGGCATGGCGCATCTATGAAATTTCATGGTTAGGTGACCCGGGCTATGCAAGACCTGAAGGATACGGCAAAAAGGAACGCAATCTATACAAAATTCGTCCAGCAGGATGTATGATGCATCTTCCGGCCACGTGGATAGGGAGTGATCAGTTCACAAGCCCCCAGGGCTTCTTTCGTCCCGACTCCTAGCAGTGTGACAACCCTTCCACAGCATAGAACCCAAATGACTACCATGGGGTGCTATGGGCCTCTTCCATCAGTGCCACATCTCGCTTGTGGACGAAAGCGAAGATGGCTCATGGATGTGACGTTTTATAGCCAGACGTCTGGAAGCATTTCGTCAAGGACAAATGCTAGACCTGACTCTACATATGTCTTTGTAATGCCTTTCAATTCGCAAAGCATTAGGCCCTGGTTCAGATGGTTGTGAACGACACTATTCTGGATTACAGGATAACATGTCCTGGATTGTTCGGGTTCTCCCTGGCCAGAGACCTTGTATTTTAAGAGGATGTGGCTAAATCATATAGAGCTCAGACCGATCTGTGAAAGACCACTCCAGCAAATTATATCTAACTTACAGAAAAATTCTGACTATCCTGCTTGATCATTGTTCCCTCTCTTTCTTTGGTCTTTGAGCTAGAGTGACTTCGCTCCCACTCTCACGTCTTCCAAGCTCAACGTCACTACTATTGAGCTCGGTCCAGCCGTTTTCGAGCTTGGTCTCGGCACCCTCGGTGATCGGCACGACTTCGTCCATTTCACTAACGGATCTGTTTGCAATCTCTTGCTTACACTTCTCGATAGCCTCGCGAGCAGCTGCGACCGCTCGGCGTCGCTCCTCTCTTCCCTTACTCTCATCATAGTGGGTTTCGTTCTCGTCCTTTCCTTCCTTGCCCTCAAGCTCTCCTACCTCCTCCTTATCTTCATCCGCTACCCACCTCTTGTAGTCTTTCCAAAGCTCCTGAACGCTTTTGTGCAAACCACTTCGACCACACCAGTACTCCTCCTCATCATACTTGACCTCCTTCAACAGATGATTCAGTCTCGGCACAGTTCCAGTCCCGTATTCCTTCTCTAGCCAGTCCAGAAACCACGCGGTCATCTGGTATCCCGCGTCCCAGCGATCACCGGTCGTCCGCTTCCAATGCGGCGGTGACAGATCCGCTCTAAGCCTGACCCAATCTGCAAGCCCTTCTATAAGTCCTCCCGGTGCCGTGCCACATCCGTCCCATTGCCAACAATGCACCATCTCATGCACTATCACGCCCGTGATCTCACGTTTCAAGAGATCAGGCTTGATCCCAGCGACGTAGTCGGTAGATAAGTGGATCTCCTTGTGGTCATGATCGAGGGCCTTGCCTCGGGTGTAGGCAACTCCGCCAAAGGAGCTCAGGACTAGCGTCACGCTCCGACTGCCGGGCCATGACTCCCAGTATTGGCCGGGATAGAGAAGATCGAGGACGGTGCGGACGGCTTCTTCAAGGACTCCAGCCGCATCAATGCAAGATAAGAAGCTGCGCGCACCTTTCTCGGAGAGGTCTTGGATCTTTAGCCGGAGCAGAGGCGTTGGATAGACGCGACGGGGTGGAAAAGGCGCTTGTGGAGGTTTACCCGGTGAAGGATAGGGAGGCGGCGGCATTCTAAACGCGTCGCGATCTAAGGAAGGGATATCTTGTAAGATCCACGCTGTTACTCCGTATTGTAGACGAATCCGCGTAGAATCCCTTCCGAATCTTGGTAGCTCTAGGCGTCATGATAACAAGCAATAACAAGCTTCGATCAAGAGGCAGCGGGGATCCATCGGCGCGCTTATGCACGCCTCCGTGGCCTAACCATCCCAACCTCAACCTTGGTAAACTATCTCTCTGCCGGCATAGCTTCGGTCACGACTTCAGCGAATTGTACTCTGAACACCTCGTGTACAACCGGACCTCCCTACCTTCATTTTCAATAGTTCGGATGAGCCCAATGATTGTCGATATAATTACGGCTTAAACTTGTGCAAGCTTGATACCGCTGGCATGTCTTGACTTGAATCCCTCGTGAGTGCTGCCTGGATCGCTAACGCCCGATGCTTTGGCCTTTGCGAAGAGTTCAGATGGCTGGAATTGGCCACCTTCCGCTCTTAGGTCCATAGCATCAGAAAGTCGAAGGTGAGGCCGACGATCAAATTCACTGGCTTTCAGCATGAAGAGCGACAAGAGCTCCGTTCAAGGGCTGATCAATATTCATCAAGGACTAACAAGGCCTCTAACCCAGCGTAGGAATCCCGAAGGTGTCCAATACGGATCCCTGATTGAGCACCTTTCAGAAAGCGTTGACAATCAATAAACCGGGCCAGCGAGACCTTTCTTCTGTACAAATACTGCCTAGCACCGGTACGCGGACTTCCTGTATCTCAAAACTTCGTTCAAGGAACTGCCTCAAGAGGCACCTAAAGCTGGGCTATGGTAGCCATCAGCCCAAGCTGTACCATGCGGATGCAGTGAGACATCTTGATCATTCCAAAAAGTGGGTGATTCTCTTCATTTGGTCGCCCTGCATTGCTCAACTGAGTATGCACAGTCATTATAGTCTGATCATTTCAGCTCTGCCACGTACTCCTTGAGCGAAAGCGGCAGGAGCAGGTTGTCCTTCCTGAGATGGTTATCGAAGCCCACCATCTCTACTTTTGCTTTAGCCCAGTCCGGAAAGCTGAACCACGGCAATAGCGAAGCTGAATATAAGGCTCAGGAAAGAAGAGCTTGCATCGAAGACCTGAATGACTGGAGAAGACTCGAAGCGTCTTATGAAGTGCAGCAAGCCCACTTCCTCCAGGGCAACACTGGGGATCAAAAGATCTCCTCAGGGTGGATGCCGTTATGCCTGTTTGAGTAGTCTACTCTTGGAATGTGCTCGGGCAAGGGTACTCGTACCTCAAATGGAGCGCAGCTCCTGTAGCCGATCAAGACGGTCAGACAGGCAACAAGCACGAACAGGAAGCCTCCTTCTTGGTCTATCACGGAGCTTCGGGCAGTCTCTGGCAACTTAACACCTCGAATGATCAGTCTTGCTCCTCTCTTCCAAACAAGGGTGAGCATTTCTGTAGCTCACCAACAAACCCCATGGGACGTACAGAAGTAGTTGCATTGTCCAAGCAAGCTAAAGTATAGCCTGCGAATCTGGAGTGTTTCGTACCCTTACCAGGTCATGATGTCCTATTCGGGCAGGCATACGTGTTAAGCATCTCTACATGGTTGGGTGGTGATGGTCCGACAACTGCTGAGAGAGATGGTTGCTGTCCAGCTTTCAGGAGACATCGTTTCGACTTCAGTCACTGCTGGCTATTGCATGTTATGCTATGTTAAACGGGATTAGCTGTCCAGTCGTGTTCTGCACTGTATTTCCGGGCCATGCACTCCTCGCCCGCTTTCTGCCCTAAATCCCACGTTCTCCGCCAGCTGTTTTCCTTATTCCCACAATATTTGCACGGTTGGGCTGTCTCAGTCTCGCTTCAACAGTTTCTGCACCCGTTTTCACTTCCCTGAGCACCTTAGGACTCTTCTACCTCACCCTCGCTAGGTATTTCACGGATCTCCAAGCATCCAGAAGATCTGAGGTACTTGACAGCAGTCATTTTCCAGATCACTGTTGCTACGTGCTTCAAAGAGATACCAAAGCACCCAAAGCTCGGAGATCTACATATTACAGTTTACCTTCTGCCCTGTCTTTGCTTCTTGACCAAGAGAGGGTTCAAAGCATAAAGAGGAGCATATATCTACGTATCTGTATCATGGCAAGGTACGTGATAGCCTTTCACTCTGCTCTTTGTAGAGAAATTTTAGCTGAGACCTGAACAGCAATCGTTCAAGAAATGCAGCTGCACCAATGCTCAGTCAATGGACAGACCAAAACAGGTACTTCTCCACCTCCTTCAAGCATCTACATACTCGAGCTAACAGAGCTTGCCAGGCATCCACAGACACAGTCCACGCTACTAAGTCTTCCTCTTGAGATCCGCCTCATAATCTGGCAATATCTCCGACTGAAGCGCATCAACTATCGTCATGGCGCTGGTCTATTTGGGCATTACCAGGAAGGCTTGGAAAACACGACTCAGTACATCATCCCCTGGAAAGCGCCAATACACGACTTCTATGGCCTTGCCTTTGCCTGCCGCCTCACCTACACCGAAATCCAGCAAGTACATAACCCGGCCACCATACTCACCAGTCACTGGGACCTGAGCAAGCTCCTCTACGTCCTCCACGCCCGTCGACCCATCGTCATCGACACATTCCGACTAGCAACCGAAGGCCGGGGAACAGTGGCACTGCCAAGCGAGATCAACATCCACGAAATCCAACAGCAGATGGCGCGCGCCCTCCTCGAGCTCAAACGCCAGTACGAAAGCGTCGAGTTCCAGAAAATCAGTTGGATCGATCTTCGGACCGAGGGGGTGGGCACCGCCTCAGAGACAAGACATTACAGCCTGCGCTTCGAGATCCACGTGGGCAAGAAGCGCCAGCACACGCTAGGCGGCCGCATCCAGCGAGGCAAGAAGTATCCTGCCCAGGTGTGGGCACGCGAGATCAGCGCGCTGGAGGACCACCTGAGTTTCGCCAAGCTGGATGAGCTGCTCAATAAGATGGAGGATACGCCGGAAGGGGGGATGGTGAATATGGATTAGAAGTTTAGAGTACCTAATTCTCCCTGATGGCAGATGAGACTCCCGAACGCCCTTTGGCCTACTATGATCCCTTTTCCATATCACTGTGAAATTGAAGATATGCATCATAACACAGCAAACGCGTAGCAAGACTCTTACTGTTCGCCCAGAAGCACAATCCTAATCCCAATCTTTTTTCTCAGACACTCAGCCATCCGCACCCCTGGTTGCCCTGGGATGCCTATACTGTGCGTCCTATTCTAACATCACAAATCAACCACGTTATCATGAAATGCAACCCGAGCGTCCGTTGACATACACACACAACCATAAATACTCCTTTGTCTTGTACACAGGAGCACGTGAGACTACTACTTAATGACATGAATTCGTGCGAAGAAGAATTAGAATTACACCAAACAATGAAGCACGCCCGTCCCTTTTAGCAGCATGCCGATCTGATCTGATCTAATCTCATCTACCAAAGCAAAGGAACCTATCTAGCACGTCAAGAAGAAAGCGCAGGAGGCTACCTTCAAGGAGGTGGAGGCTATCGTGCCTGTGCCTGTTTTTATTATTGAAGGGTGTGCCCGTCTTTCGGCAGATTCATCAGCAGATGCATGAACGTCTATTTATCTGTCTGTCTGTCTATGAGCAACCAGCTCGCTATGACTGTCTAGTTTTCATCCAATGTCTAAGCCAGCGCAATGTGATCCAATGCGATGCGATGCAATGCGATGCAAAAATCCGTAGGGCCCGTCAATGCTTGCGCAAGCCCCCCCCCGGGCCCATTCATCTATGCAGGACTCTATGCCAAACAATCGCCCGCCTCGACCGCCCTCCTAAACGCGCCATTAAAGAACTGAATCATAGCCGTGTAGTGGAACAGGATCCCGCCCAGCACAGCCAGATGCCAAATATTGTGACTCCCACCCACATAGTCAAACGCGCCGGGGAACCATCGCTCGGGAACATGGGAGGCGTAGATCATGGCGCCGGCCACGTAGACGAACAGGCTCTTCGCGATGGGGGCGTAGAAGTAGAAACTCCACTCCGGGCCCCTGGTCATGTTCAACTGAATGACGGGCGCGAAGCCCGTGGCGGCGAGGGTGACGTAGAAGGCTACGCGCGCCCAGGCCATATCGGCGCGGTTGAAGGTCGATTGCCACGGGAGGATGGTGCCGAGGATGCCGAGCACAGCGGTCAAGGCCATGTAGACGCTGCGGGAGACGGGTTCGCAGTAGAAGGCTGTCCATTCTGTGGAGAGGATGCTGGCTGCGACGAGAAAGGAGATTCCCGTGTAGTCAACGCAGGCGAAGCGTTCGAGCAGGGTTTTGTCGGCGATGCCGTTCATGGTGTGCCACATGGTGGAGCAGATGAGGCATTTGCAGGCGGCGGCGAAGAAGATGGCGGAGATCAAGACGTCGGTTTTGGTGCTGAGGGGGAAGGTGGCAGAGGTTGGGTAGAAATAGAATGCTATGGCGAGGACGATAATGAGCCCGATGACGTGGGACCAGATGTTGACGGTTTCGTTGGAGGGTTTGAAGATGGACGTTAGGCATTCGACCTTGGATTCGGTGAATCGGTAGCCCCGGATGATGTGCGGGTTTACTTGCCAGGGATGGGGCAAGTCTTCATATCTGATGAGACGCGTCTCAGCTGCCTGTAACAAGGCACTTGAGATGCTTTCTTTGAGCACCTCCTTGGCTTTTCTTGCTCGGTCAAAGCCTTCATCTATGATTTCTCGAGTGTGCGCTATCGAGTTGTCCACTCTCTTCCACCCTTCATCGATAGCCGCTGAAAAGTTTGATTGTCTGGCATGTGCCCGTGCTTCCAATTCCGACAAATAGCTGTCCATCAATTTCATGCTGGCCTGCGCTTTTTGTTCCAAGGATTGTTTTGATGGTATGGCATTGCTGAAGCGTGACTCCAATGTCTCCACGCAGATCTTAGCTCTCTGCTTGGCGGCGCCCCATATCAGCTCTCCGGAAGCATATGAGCACGAATCTCGCACAGCTTCGAGCGCGGCATAGCCTTGCTTCAGGGTGGCATCCAGGTGAAGGATGCGCTCTTGTCGATAATTGTCCAGCCATGCTAAGCGCCGCTCGAGTTCGGACAGAAACAAATCAACACGGACAAAGATGGCGTCTGCATCGTAAATGTGAGAACGTCGAGAGACAGGCGAGTCGTAGGAGTGTCGTCGCCCACGTCGAGGGTAACGTTCTAGATTTGGAGAATCTGTGCCGAAGTAGCCAGGGGAGGAGGAAGAGGAAGAGGAGGAAGGTGACTCCACTGTTAAGGCAGAGATAGCACAGGACATGGCTTGAAGGAGAATTGTTGTCTACAGATCCACGAATTCAACCAGGTGGTGTAGTTGAACCGAAGAAGAGGGGCAGATAGGACGATGAAGTAGGTCGACAACAGGCGGGGAATGCGAAGGCCTGGTCTGGTGCCCCCAACAACGGTATAATTGACTATGAGGAATGGTGTAGAGAGGATGAATGATGCTGTACTACGTAGTATATTGGGGTGAATCGGAAGAGTCGAAAAGGGAACGTGGAGGAGTGGCGGGCGCTGAGCCCTGGGCTGTAGAGGATCTAACTACGTAGTAGACGAAGTGTGGGAAACTGAATGGAAGCTACTACGTTAGATGGCTTGGCCTGCTTCTCACATGCATTACTCCGTACTACGTAGAGGACTGCCGCCCAATAGTCTCCCGGAAAATGTGACGTCGCCATGGCGCCGGTGGGGCTCCAGGCTGAGAGACCCTGGGACCCTGCAGGAAGTAGTCGAATTACACCCCATCCACCCTTAATCATCAATTGAAGTGTCTTCAATGGAGTAATGATTTATGACCAGCATATCCTGGAGCTCATCCTGGAGCTCATCCATATGTCCCAAGATTGTCTATTTCGCTGGGTCTCGACACATGTCATCGTGCTAACCACAAGAGCACTCGGCCATATGACTTCTGGAAGTAGGTGCCTTCTCTCAACCTATCAGGGTACCTATATTGTCATTCCATACGGGCTGAGCCATCGACAGCATTGCGCAGACATCCTTCGGCTTTCGGCTATATACACATACCATGTGTCTCTTCGTGCTACAACGTGCCATGCCATGGACGTCATAGTTGATTGACCTTCGAGGTTCATTTGACCTTTGAGTACAAACCAAGGCCTAATCAGTAGCCTGCTGCTGCTGAGATTGTAGATGCAGCAGTATCTTTCCGGGAGATGCTACGTAGTAAGTGTGTTAAGTGCTCTCCTCGTCGAGCCAAGCTGGCGCCATAATAGTTCTGATCCACGGGGGTCGCTAGCTTAATGTTACTGTTATACGGAGTACTCCGTACGGCTACCAATCTCCAATCAAGTTTAACAACAGCTATAAACTGCCCGGGCCATGCGCATCTTTACTTACTAACCCACATCAAGTTAGCAGTGATCTAGAAGACTTGCTTCGGGCTATGTACTGCACTTCCTCTTCTTCTTCTTCTCCTCCTTCTTCTTGACCTTCTACATGACTGATAATATCCCTTGAATACGGAGTCTGCTATTAGGGCATACGTCTCGTGCTATTAAAGGTGATTGAATCAATTGACACACTATGGATCTCATGAGGCAACCCATCCATCCCTTACTCTAGCTCTTGATTTCAGGAACCAGCTTCTTGGATTCTCCTTTTCGATCGTCAAGTCCTTTCCTTCTACAGCGCGTCTGAGTTTGGCTGTAAGCAGGATGCACCTCCGGCCGATGCAGCTCAGTGATATACCTGTCATAGCTGACGTGTCCGCGGAGACGCAGCTGGAAGATGAAATTGTAGAGTTCATCGCTCCTCATCGCAGTAAATACTATACCTCCTACCGAGATGGATTCGTTCGGAGAATCCACGCGCGACGTCTGAAACCAGGCTGGATCTATTGGGTTGCCGAGACGGATCACGGCGATGAGCCTACCGCTCTGCAGAAAATGAGGGGTGAGGAAGAATTGGGAGGCCGGCTTATTGGATATGCGGCGTGGACAAGAGTAGGAAAGAGCCCTGTTGCACGCAATTGGCAAAGGATGAACAAGGGATGGTTTGCAAGTGAGTGATTCTGACAAGAAACATCTGTGAGGCTAGAAGGGGTCTCGTGGAGAGGGAGACGACGTTGCTCATATGTCGGTGCTCGATGCAGAATTTGAGTCTTGTTTAGCTGGACTCAAGAGCTTCTATTGGGATTTCTTCAACCTCGACTGGTCTATGGACCCATCGAAACGCGCCATTCTCACCGGTCTCTTCGCTCAGACCTTTGGCGACGACATCTTCCCCGAAGCATGGCTGCTAGCCAACGTTGTTACACATACGGACTATCAGCGACGCGGCATTGGCACCCGTCTCGTCCAATGGGGCTTGGATCAATGCGAGGCTGAAAGAGTGCCTTGTGGTGTCGAGTCGAGTTTTGCCGGCAGGAGGTTGTATGAGAAGCTGGGCTTCCGGAAGTTTGATGATTTAAGGTATGGCGAGAATGAGAAGGAGACGATGGCCGTGATGGTTTGGGAGCCGCCCGGCCTGGAGGGTCGCTGGTTTCATAAGGCGAAGGCAGCGGCTGATATTCTAGAGACTGGGGCGTCCAGCATGCTTGTAACGTGACCACTACGCCATCAACACAGTACAGCTCCACTATATTAAGTTACCTTGCAGAACAGGAGACTTACCACTCCTCCTTGCACTCATAGGAAATCGAATGGTGAGGGAGGCAGTCGGCCTGGTCACACGATGACCACGCCAGAGTAGATTATTTCAACAAGGGGTTATTATCTACTTGTCCAGCTAGAAGTCAGCTCGCAACCTCTCATGGGGTACTGCTTCAATGATAGCTATGACCCTCTACTTGGAGCAGCAATGGAGAGTTTTTCAATCAACGAACTTGCTATAATTCGTTGCATCAAGCCCTGCTTTCACAACCTAGGGGGGCATCTCATAAGCGACTTCAAGTTGTTGAAATGACATATCAGTAGTGACTTCCAAACGCGAGACTGACTTTTCTCAAAGCGCGCCTTGTGAAGGCTCAGCAGCACTTACAGTATCTTTCGTCTACGGCGCTGTGTATTGCATATCGTGGACATGCTTGAGACACGTCCTTGTCCTTCCATCGAGTGTTGTAAATTTGTCTCAACGCTTCTAGGCTGCTGGTCAAAAATATACACGCTAGCTTAATTACTAACCAATGTCGCCTTCTCGGTTACGAAAATCGGCACCTAGAACACAACGATGATAATCATCATCTTTGCAAGGTGGCGAGTTGACGACACCACCACTACTATCTGGTTGTGGTAGATGGATACTTCATGGATACTGCATCGAAGGTCGCTTCGAGTCCGTATCTTATCGTGGCCGATGTCCCGAGGCACACAACCTTGCATATCGTGCCTCCACCTGCATTGACCTGCATCGTGTCATCTCAACTAGGCAGCTCCCTTTGCGAAATTTGAGTAAGCTCGCATATTTGGCCAATCAGAAAACATTGTCCACCACAGCTTGCTTACCTTGCTGATCGCTACGATCAACTTGAGTATGGAGACATTTCTCCTCATCTGCTCGGTCGTGGTTCCTTATTCTTTTGGTCGTTATTCCTCTTGTTTTCTGTCTTGTTTTTCTTTTTGTTCTTCCTTCAGCTTGCGCTCTTTTCACTCGCTTATTTCGGTTGGAGATGCTGTTCCTGAAGGCCAGTTTCCTTGCCTGCGCAGCACTGTTGTTGTCGAGCTCATTCGCCGCACCAGCTCCCCAAAAGTCGAATACCACCAATGTCCTCTATCCTGACCTTCTTGAGGCTACGACGGACGAGCTTGCTGAAGGTCTGAAGAAGGGCTTGTTTACTAGCGTCGACCTTGTCAATGTGAGCTTTATTCCCCCCTCATCCGGATGCCGTTCCTCCTGGCTTCATCTTGATGCTGAAGAACAATATAATCACAGGCATACACGGCTCGCATTCTCGAAGTGAACGACACCTTACGAGCGGTCGTCGAGATCAACCCAGACGCCCTGTCGATTGCTGCCGAACTCGATGCCGAGCGTAAGAATGGCACCAAACGCGGACCCCTCCATGGCGTTCCGATCTTGATCAAGAACAATATCGCCACCGCCGACAAGATGCAAAACACAGCGGGCTCATACGCGCTTCTCGGTGCAACCGTGCCAAGGGATAGCTTCATGGCTGCAAAATTGAGACGAACTGGTGCGGTCATCTTAGGAAAGACAAATCTAAGCCAATGGGCGAACTTCAGGAGTTTTAACACCAGCAACGGATGGTCTGCTTATGGTGGTCAGACACTTGGAGCATACTTTTCCAACCAGGATCCATCAGGTTCAAGTTCCGGGAGTGGTGTGGCAAGCAGTGTGGGCCTTGCACTCGCTGCTTTGGGCACCGAGACTAGTGGCAGTATTCTCAGCCCTTGCGATGCCAACAACCTGGCTTGTGTAAAACCCACTGTCGGTCTGACCTCCCGTGACCTGGTAATACCGATTTCGGAACACCAGGATACTGTTGGGCCCATGGCAAGAACCATGAAGGATGCGGCATACTTGTTGGCTGCTATTGCGGGACAAGACCCTAACGACAACTATACCTCTGCCATCCCCTTCCGCGACACCCCAGACTACGTTGCAGCCTGCCGAACGGACGCACTCAGAGGAAAACGTATCGGCATCCCTCGCAATGTCCTCCCCCGGTCAGAAGAGCTCATCCCAATCCTCGACGCCTTCGAATCAGCAATCGCACTGATCCGCGAAGCCGGCGCAACTATCGTCGATAACACCAATTTCACCGGCTATGAGCAACTCAGCAACAGCATGTCTCCCGGCATCGTCCTTGATGTAGACTTCATCACCGACCTTCCCAGGTACCTCTCGCAACTAGTCGCCAACCCCACCGGCGTACAAGATGTCGAGGACGTGCGCAACTTCACCCAACGTACCCCGGTGGAGGAGTACCCCGACCGTGACACGGGCGTCTGGGACGAGGCCCTCGACGGCCTCGGCTTCGGCAACACCGATCCGCGTTTCTGGGCCGCCTACCAGGAAAACCTGTTCCTCGCCGGCCCGCTCGGCCTGACCGGCGCACTGGCAAACTACTCCCTCGATGCCGTCATCTTACCCACCTCCTTCGCCCCCTTCGTCCCAGCTCTGATTGGCACTCCCGTCGTCACCGTCCCGCTGGGGTTCTACCCGCCCAACACGACCGTGATCCCCACCGATAGAGGCCTGAGCGCGGTGGGTCCGAATCTGCCGTTCGGGTTAAGTTTTCTCGGGGAAAAATTCAGCGAGGAGTTGTTGATCGGGTTGGGGTATGCGTTTGAGCAGAGGACGATGGTTAGGGAGACGGTGCAGCCGTTGGTGCTGCCGGTGACGGAGTTGGTCGATGTGGTGGGGATGGGTACGGGTATGGGTAGAGGTGGGAATTACAGCTCCAAGGAGAGGTGATGGAATGCTTGTGTTGGTGGTCAGGTATAGGGGTATAGAGGAGGGGTTGGGTAGAATTTGAGGGGTTGAGATGGCATGAACTCTATATATATTGATTGCTGATAGATGGTGTCATGTACATATCTCAGCCTAACTCGCTTGTCTAAATGCCACGTTAACCAGTCTGCTGATCTATCTGATCCACCACCTCTATCGACGAGGAGGAGGAATCCAGCCCCTTCCTAAACCGGCCCTGAATCCAGCACCGGTACATCTTGATCTTCTTCTGCCGATTCACGATCAACCTTCGATCCACATCCAGATCCAGAATCTCAAAGCCCGGGGATGATCTCACCTCCTTCTCACCTCCCTCTCCTCCTCCTCCTCCTCCTCCTCCTCCACCACCTCCTCCCGCACTCCCTTCTCCTCCTCCCTTTTCGTGGTTACCACCAGCCCAAAGCGCTCTCAACTCGTCAGCCTCGAAGAAATAGACCCTGGTCCCATCGCCCCGGACGTAGAAATTCTCCTCCATCCAGCGCCCCTTCCGGAAGCGCACCTGTGCCAGATCGCCCCTGCCGTAGTCGCGGAAGAGGACCTCGCCGCCGGGTCTGAGGAGGGTGTGGATGTTGTGGATGGCCTGGCGCCACTGGGCGGGGGAGAGGGCGGAGAAGACGAAGATGAGGAGGACGACGTCG